CAACAAGTTTCCATATCATTGTCCAATGCGTTTTGCATTATGCTAACCATGTGGGCGTTGAAGCCCAACCCTGAACCCAGAACCCTATGTACATAAAAAAAAAAGAGGACTATGTATAACCTCTTCAACCCCAAGGCATGACCCCATCTATTTCACTAGGCCGCTGCATTGCGACCTGCTTCCCCTGAGAAAGAAGCCAAGAGGCCGATCATCGTGGCACCAGCTGCCTTGAAGGCGTCATGGAGTTCCTCTCAGTTGTCAAGTAACTAGGCTTCAGGGTTCGCAGGTTCAGGGTTAAGGGTTTGAAGGTTTGAGAGTTTTAGGGCTTTGGGGCGCAATTGAAGCCTATAGTGGTTTACATTCCATGCTACATAACCGACCAAGCTGAGGGTAGCCCACTGCAGAGATATGTCCTCAATGCCGTCGCAGAAGTTGTCTGCGTAGCTCTGGGAATCGCCGCAGCCGAAGATGGCAACCTTCTTGCCGCTGAGGTCGGACTCCTTGATGGTGTCCAAATAATCATCCCAGGTTGTGCCAGATCGGTACCTAGACCGTCTTAAAATGGAAAGTTCAGATTGCGTAAACTTGAAGGCCAGGCACTTTTCACATTCGGGTATGCGCGTACCTCCAAATTTGTTCATCCTGCGTCTACTAAACCCGTGCCCAAAAACCTCCACAAACAATAATCGGTTTCCCCTAATATTAAACCCCCGCCTAATATTAAAGACGGGTTTGCCAGAATTCCAAATTCTGAAATCTGCCCCCGAGGTTTCTTTTAAAAAGTCCGAGATTAAAGCAAATTGCGGCTCGGATCCTCTGACTAAGGGGAGGGGGTCCCAAGCACGACTTTGATGGATTAGGGATCTCCTTGGTTTCTTAGATCTTGATTTTTTTGAATTGTTGTTTTTTTCTGAAGGGATTTATATACACAAATTCCAGAAACAGATTCCAAGGCCCTAATGTGGAACAGTCTTTTGATTGGCCCTAAATTTGGAATAGTCCCTAGTAAGGCCCTAATTTGAAATAGTCCCTAATAAGGCCCTAATGTCGAATGATCCCTAATAACGCCCTACTTTGAGATAGTCGCCAATAAAGCCCCAATTTGAAATGATCCCTAATAAGGCCCTAATTTGAAATAGTCCCTAACAAGGCCCTGATTTGAAATAGTCCCTAATAAGGCCCTAATGTCAACTAGTCCCTAATTAGGCCCTACTTTGAACTCGTCCCTAATGAGGCTCTAATTTGAAAATGTCCTGGATGAGGCTTCAATTCGAACTAGTCCCTAATAGGATTTGAAACAGTCCCTAATAAAAGCCTAATTTGAAACAGTCCCTAATAAGGCCCTACTTTCCAATAGTCCCTGATAAGGCTCTCATTTGAAATAGTCCCCAATAAGGCCCTAATTTGCATTAGTCCCTGAAAGGGCCTCTTTGAAGAGTTAATCGAATTTTGTAAGACTTTAATAAGTATTTAATTACCCCCCCTCATGTTCGGGTCGTACGATAAATACCCCCCCCTTAGGAAGGGCAGGGGCCGTTCAACATTGGGGGGGAAGGATTAGCCTTCAGAAACTCCATTCGGCAAGAGACGCCTGCCCAAACAACACGAGAAACCACCAGCGTCTCAATGCAAAAAAAAAGCCTTGAGAACCACGAACCAATGGGAATGTGCTGAAACTGAAACTCTCTTACTTTCTGTAGGTGCACTTTGGTGAAAGGAAGCCAAGATACTCGTCTGCTCCAGTGTTCCACGTTGGGCAGCCAGCAATGACTCCTTCCAGGTCAGCAAAATCTTCACCATCGTAATCGGAAGCCTCCGACCCTGTCGCCTCAGCAATCTTGCTGGCCACGTCCTCCGTGTTGCCCGTCTGAGTGGCATAGAAGACTCCAATAGC